GCACGGCCGGCACGGGCCGCCCATAGCTTATCGCACCGGACGATTGTGTTGACGGTCAGCCAGGGCTGAGTGGGCAGGGGAGGGGGACGGCGGGGGGAGCAGCGGCACCCGCCGCTCGGGGGGAATGACTCTCACATCCGGACCCGTCACCCCGCCAGCAGAATACCAATGCTCCAGCCGTCGCGTCGTGGATACACTCCCGCATCGGGAGCCGGCCAGCTGCTACCTCGGGGCAGAGACGAGATGTGGTGAAGGCATCGGCAGCCGGCCGGCCAACGCCCTACCCCGCCTCCAACGCCACAGCGGGCCGTGGCGGTCGTCTTCCGTCCCGCTCCGAGGCACGAAAGCCCAGGTCCAGCGACCCGTGCCCGGCCAAAACGCGGGATGCCAGAGGCAGCACGACCTCGGCGAGGGCGCGGGGAAGAGGCTGACAGCCACAAAGTGGATCCGGCGACGCCATCGTCGCGGTGGACGCTGCCTGGAGCCGGCACGGCCGACGGCCCATCACAGTCATCCGTACTCGTCCCCCCGCTCAGCCAAGCCGCATGCTAGCTGCCAGCAATGGAGCCACGCCACCTCAATTCAGAACGGGACGCGAATGTTTTAAACTCACACAGCCGCGCGGTGTTCATTTCGGGCCGGCAATTTCGGACACGAACGACATCAATCCGGCCGACATCAGCATTAGTGATGCCGTCAATCTGCGCGGATCAGCCGGACGCGGCCGCTGACGGCGGCGCATGCAAACGAGCCGCGTCCACGGCTCATAACTACCAAAGTGGCGCCGGCGCGTGCCTCGTGGGGAGGCGACGCGCCCGGCCGGGCCTGATCCGGTTGGGCGCCGCTAACGGGCGGGGCCCAGCCATGGTAATCAGCGCGGCTTCATCGGCGGCGATCGGTTCGCTACGGCGATCGTATATATTGGCCTACAGAGGTATGTTAAGCCAGGGCGGATATCAGGCGACGAGACCGGACTACCAGATTCGGATCGCTGATGAGATGATCAGCGATTTTTACGGCGGATGGAAACGGACAAGAGCGGTTCTCTTGGTGGATGAACGGAGAAAAAAATTCCGCCATCGCGAGGAATCAAACAGGTCACGTCTCTACGTCATGGGCTGACAAAACAGCGAGATCAATACGGGTATGACTCAAACCACAGATCCGGCGCAATTGCTTGCTGTCGCTAGTCGACACCTGGAACGACTATCGGACCCCACCAACGGCAATCAAGCAGAAACAAGCTTTCGCTTCCTGTGAACCAGGAACCTGCACAGCGTTCCCAAATCAAACTGAACTTTCAGTTCCCGATAATGGCAATGGAAGAAATCCGTGGCTTAAAGTCAACGAAATGCCTGACAAGTCATGCGTCCTCCGACTGAAAAGAACTGAACCCCTTATGCTCTATGGCGTCTTCGTGCCTTTGACTTCAAATCAACATAGGCTGGACGGACTGGAGTATTTGCAAACCCATTTTAACGTACGTCACGTAAGTTTCTCGACATTGGAGTGATATGTACAATCACATGCCGTGCGGCACGGCATGGTGCGCGCGACCGGCTCCTGAACTGGACTGAAAACATCGTGTCTGGGAGAAAACTAAGGGTGGTCATGAATCCGCATCCGACTTGGAGCGGACCATCGTCGACAAAAGTGGATCACCACTGCCGCTGACAGATGTGGATCAGCGCTGCTGCTGGCATAGGTGGATCAGCGCAGCCGCTGACAGGGGTGGATCAGCGCTGCCGCCGACAGGGGTGGATCAGCGCTGCCGCTGACAGAGGTGGATCAGCGCTGCCGCTGACAGGGGTGGATCAGCGCTGCCGCTGACAGAGGTGGATCAGCGCTGCTGCTGACAGAGGTGGATCAGCTCCTCGAGGATCGGCACTGACCCCGCATTGTTCCCTCTTTTGGCAGACAATCCACTGGCGAGCATGAAGTGCAACATCGAACCGCTCGCTGACGATGCCAAGCTGCACCACAATCCCGCTGGCCGGTCCGGAGCGGAGTGAACGCAGCCTGCCCGCGGGCAGCGGCCGGCCAGTGGCTACTCCCAGCCGCTGCGGTCGGGTGCAACACACTGCGCCCCAGTATTCGCAATCGCCGTTAGGTGCATCACACCCGAGCCGCTTCCATGCAGCACAACTCGATAGCGAGCAGCCTGGAGGGCACCGTGGACAGCGCCCGGACGTTCCACCAGCCGCCGGCGGCGGTGCCCTCCGCGGCTGACGGGGTGTTTGGAGTCACGAACCGGCTTTCGGGCGTGTTCACCGTGCACCACTGAGAGGCCACTTCGCGCGTACGGACGCCTAACATGGACATTTTCCCTCACCGAGGGGGCTAAAGGCCCGTCGAAAGGAGGTGTCGAAGGGTCACCAGACTAGTGCACGCGTTTGAGGCCTCCCATGTCACAGATGATTGTGATCGCTAAAGCTTCCAACCATGCATGAAGAAAGGCTCGTTGGAGATACGATTCTCATGCAAAACCACATGCATAAGCATACTGGAGTGTCCAAGGGAGACCACTTTTCAGCTCCCGTGTAAACAATACTACAGAACATTCCTTAAGGTTTCCAGCTCACTCAGAGCATTCCAAGTTATTGAGGGCCCTTCTGTACGTGGAGCTTATGGCCCAGTCAAAGCATGCATTTAATATGCATAGACCACCGCACTAGAAAGATACCTTCTAAGTGCGCATATTCTCCCGCGTTAACATGATCGCCCTGCTCACACGTCCAAAGCTTCCCTTCCACTGACACTCATACTGGTAACAGCTCAGGTCAGCGTGTTCTGGGTGCTGCAGTGGCCGGCGGCTAGACGCGAGCGGTCGTGACACGTCGCGTCAGGACCCGTCCGTCGCGACAGGACAGTCGGCTGCGGCAGTCTGTCCCAGGCCACCGCGACAGGACAGTCGGCTGCGGCAGTCTGTTCTAGGCCGTCGCGACAGGACAGTCGGCTGCGGCAGTCTGTCCCAGGCCGCCGCGACAGGACAGTCGGCTGCGGCAGTCTGTTCTAGGCCGTCGCGACAGGACAGTCGGCTGCGGCAGTCTGTCCCAGGCCGCCGCGACAGGACAGTCGGCTGCGGCAGTCTGTTCTAGGCCGCCGCGACAGGACAGTCGGCTGCGGCAGTCTGTCCCAGGCCGTCGCGACAGGACAGTCGGCTGCGGCAGTCTGTTCTAGGCCGCCGCGACAGGACAGCCGGCTGCGGCAGTCTGTCCCAGGCCGCCGCGACAGGACAGTCGGCTGCGGCAGTCTGTTCTAGGCCGTCGCGACAGGACAGTCGGCTGCGGCAGTCTGTCCCAGGCCGCCGCGACAGGACAGTCGGCTGCGGCAGTCTGTTCCAGGCCGTCGCGACAGGACAGTCGGCTGCGGCAGTCTGTCCCAGGCCGCCGCGACAGGACAGTCGGCTGCGGCAGTCTGTTCTAGGCCGTCGCGACAGGACAGTCGGCTGCGGCAGTCTGTCCCAGGCCGCCGCGACAGGACAGCCGGCTGCGGCAGTCTGTCCCAGGCCGCCGCGACAGGACAGTCGGCTGCGGCAGTCTGTTCTAGGCCGTCGCGACAGGACAGTCGGCTGCGGCAGTCTGTCCCAGGCCGCCGCGACAGGACAGTCGGCTGCGGCAGTCTGTTCTAGGCCGTCGCGACAGGACAGTCGGCTGCGGCAGTCTGTCCCAGGCCGCCGCGACAGGACAGTCGGCTGCGGCAGTCTGTTCTAGGCCGTCGCGACAGGACAGTCGGCTGCGGCAGTCTGTTCTAGGCCGTCGCGACAGGACAGTCGGCTGCGGCAGTCTGTTCTAGGCCGTCGCGACAGGACAGTCGGCTGCGGCAGTCTGTTCTAGGCCGTCGCGACAGGACAGTCGGCTGCGGCAGTCTGTCCCAGGCCGTCGCGACACGACAGTTGGTCCCGGCAGTCTGTTCCAGGCCGTTGCGGGACAGTCTGTCCGCTGCGGCCCTGTACGGGAGACGCAATCGCCCGGGCTAGGCGGGAGGCGGGAGCACAGCAGCCAGAGGCCAGAGCCAGAGCTAGGCGGGAGCACAGCAGCCACAGCAGGGCCGCGCCAGCGGCGGAGCCGCGCATCAGCCGCCGCACGCGCCACTGCGGGGGCGACACACACTCTACAGGAAGGCAGGGGAGGCAAGGGCGAGGAGGGCGCAGCACGGTGCGGCGCGGCACCTCAGAGCTGGGACAATCGAGCCCAGGGATCAGTCTGGACCCAATGTACAGATGAATATACATACATAACTGATCATACCAGCTGAGGGTGTGTTAACTGTCATACCTGATACCTACAACATAGGTATGCATTAGAAACAAAAGTCTCCTTCATGACCCTGCAAGCTATCATTAAATCAAATATTTGGCATGTTTTAGCTGCACTTAAACCATCTACTAATGCAATTCAGGCAAAGCAGCTCATTGTCACAGGGCACCACCACCATGCCCACATTTCCAATATGCTCTACACACTTCACAACTACAATTAATCTCATTTTCCTCATAATATATGCGCATCTGAATCTGTCATGGCCTAGACACATGCTTTATAATATGCCACCAAGGAGCTGACAGACCTCAACTGTGGACTATGTAATTGCTGGTGGCCACTCTGGACAAATTTACAGGCATCATTAAAAAGAGTGAATACACTCACAGGAAGGAAAATAAAAGCTTCTGCTGAAATAATACAACATGATTATCATGAAAACTCAGATCCATCCATCAGATTTATCAAGTATATTCACTGTCATGCATACCATTTATTATTTGATAGGCTAGACAGATAGAAAGTTTAACCACAATTTTTGTTTTGTTTTACATTTCAAAAATTCAAATGCATTCCACATTTGAAACACAATTTTATGATGTAAAGTGTAAAGTGTAACAAATCAAAGCAGATTACATATTGCAATAATCCCAAACAAACATGATTAATCCACAAACAGAGTTCCCACATTGCCATGGGATCCAAGAGACCCCACACCTTTAAATTCGTCCAACTCACCTAAGGCAGCAGATGACAGGAGGAGGACAATGCAGAATGTTGATATCAGTTCCATCATTCTTGCTAAACATAAATAACAGCTGCCCCAGTTCCACCTATGTGTCTTTAAAAACATTATCTAATCCACTGAGTCATTCTTGGGATCACTGGATTTTGACCATCATGTCAGTCCATCCACCGAAGTCTGCCACAATTTGCCTGCCGTCCTCCAGCCCACTCATCACTGCCGGTCCACAGATGGCCTCCTGATCATCACTTCATGTGGACTATCCAGTTCACTTTTACTTGCTTTTATCATAAATTGCACCTCTGCCACCTGGAGTCAGCAGTGACAGGTATCTTGTCCTTCCAGTAGCTGTAGAAGAGAGAAACAAGTAAGCTGTACAGCCTGCCAATACTGGAAGGCTGAAAATATATTGACATATATATATATATATATATATACATATATATGTATATTCAAATATAGGTCAATGATGAGGTTAGTGGAGTAAAATACATACAACTATCCCATGGTCAATGCTGGAAAATGATATGGTATGTAGCTATATTGTATTTCTGTAGAACATCAATCTCATTCTGTATTTGTGATCAACTATATGCACATTTAGGCAACAAAGAAAACCTGGCACTTACTATGCATCACAAACAGTTTATTATAATCATTAGCATGGAATGCTGAAAAAGGTGGTGCATGAGGGCAACCACAATGAAGGTATCTTTGATTTTTTCTTTGTAAATAATCCTCATGTTGGTATAGCTGCTACATCCACACAGATCATACTAACAACCAGTAGGGATTATAAATGGTGGTAAATGTTGCAGATGCAATCAGCAATGCCAAGTCTAGTCTCTTCCATAGATGTTTCTGATGAAAGATTATATGGTACCTTCTAATGCCAAAATCTCGACGTGCAGTGGGGAATGCTATCACAGTAATAAATGCCTCCAAATCCTTTGTGTACCTGACTTTGCCATAGATGACTGGCAACTTTGCCTAGAGACCAGCCTTGAAGCAATTGGGTTTATACAAAATGACAATCGTTGATGCCCCAGCCACACATCAGTTGGCAACCACCTACTTCGGCGCCACGGGCAGCACCCTCCCACCCAGAGCACAGCGGTGAACTGCCAACCACACGATTACTCCGCGATGTTTTTGTCTTCAACTGGTCAAAGTTTAGCTCTAACAGACACAACGCTCACCACAGGTGTAGATCGGTTACATCACACACAATGCAGAACAATGAAAACGACACACAATCCCAACACACCACCCTCACACGCCACGACCCACCCCGCACCCCAAACCCCAAACACCTCAGCAATAAGAATGCCGAGAATGATACACCAAATGCGCATGCGTGCGTGACGTCATAGTTGGCAAAACCGAATACAAGAAATCCTTTCGTTCATTCGGTAAGAAGTAAGCACTCATTCATGACCAACTACGCGAGATAATACGAGAATGTGACGCGTACTAACCAGCGAAGCTCTGACCCTAATGTCCAGAAGGTATCAAAAGATTCGTTATGTCGGATTGGTTTGTTTTTCACAGGCTGCCTCCTATCCTTTGTTGTCGCCATCTAAAGTGTTCAACTTTCGGCTGGCGTTGCTGTTACCTGGCTGTTGAAGCCAATCAGAAGCGACGTAAGCGAGAAATGGCAAATACATTTTTTTCCTGCCATTCTGTGGGGGCTTGGACAACGAATGATACAGGCCTTTCCATGGTGTTGATAATGTTTTCATAGCATTGGCTGAATTGTAGCCACCTCTGAACATTGTGGTGATATCTTGAAGCAAGAATAAATGTTAAAAAATGGTTTTATAGTGTGTTTGCATGATGAACCCTCTACAATGTTTTGTTAAAACTTTTTCAAATATTTATCAAATCAGAGCGTGCATTTCTTCTCAACACAGTTCGTCTAGGTCGGGGTCTTCAGCGGCCGTTCTGCTCAATGGGCGGGGCTTCCTCCTACAACAGCAGCACCGTCATTACTTCGAACAATGTCGGGACTAAATTACCTGCCAGGGTACAGGAGCATATTTAGTTTTATCAAAGTACGAGAACTTCTCAGTATGCTCGGCGTAATAAGCAGAATTTTATGAAGTCTGAATCATATTTCATTGGGTAACAATGCGTAATAAGTCTGTATTGTTCAGTATTTATTGTATTCTGTACACCTAATGGTTTAAATCTTAGTAATATGGTAGCATGCCCGAAACTTTGCATTGGTGGCGCACTTACTGTCTTGCTTGTATTTGCTAGCGCATGGTGCTCTCTCAGCTGTGTCCCTGGGTACTTGCCGTTGTCGCGTGCTAACGCTGATTTTTCAGACGTTTTGTCCTAATTTTCGTGATCTTCAGCACCTAGTAGGCGGGCCTGCTACGAGAGTCTTGTATCTTCTTGCGGCTGCATTTTTGCGCCCGGTTGGCTGCGTGGGTAAGTGCGTGTCAATACGCTGCGTATACCTAACGTGACTTAACGTATCGTAACGAATGTAACACGACCTCTGACCTCTCAACGGTGGTCGAAAAATGTAAGGCAGTTCAGTGGATGCCTAATTCCTTGCCTTTTGAAACTCACATATAAAATAGGAGACTAGGTACCTCGGTTGACAAATCCTGTGGTTGGTTGACAGTAAATAAGTCCATTGGTACAAATACAGCTAAGAAATGGTCTTGTGTGAGTATTACAAAAACAGTGACAGGTGTGGTTTATGGTTTTCCAGTTTTTGGCTTTGTTAAACTCACAATCTAATAGAGTTCTGTGAAATGCAAAAAAATACAGGCTGCACTTAACATTCTCAGCATAGCAGCAAAGCTGCAACAATTTCAGAGCATGCATCCCATAAATTTGACATCCTGTGAGCTCAGCACATGATTGCAACCAGGTTCAGTGCATGGAGGGCCAGGATGCTGATTAAGCATACTTTTGTGTGGCAGGTTTAAGGTTTGACAATTACAAAATGACAATGTTAATATGTTAGCCACCTGACATGCCATTGTGCATGCACATGTTTATCACCTGTCCCCTTTCCACTCTAAAAACATATTAATTGTGCTGGTCATCTGAATAACAGATGCTGTGTAGAACTTGGTGTGTTTACATATATGTGCAGGCATGTGTGTGTGCATGCATACATGCATGTATATTGAACTAAGTTCATGCTAGCTTCCACTGATTTGGGAAATGATTTCTGACTGGCAGTGTTGGTCATGTTCAAGACATTCTTGTGAAAATACTATCACAACATTCGAATCCTTCAACCATTGACTTGATGTTCTCAGAAATCATTGGTGGCCACTGCCCATGCACCAAACTTAAATACTCAAATATATGGCATGCATACATTTAAATTTGTTGTGAAACCTCAAGGGAATGCCAGACTTGTTCAGCATAATGTGCATTTCTTGCAGTCTTACCATCTTTCCCTGTATGCCTGAAAAGTGTTACAATGCAGATCACTACTAAATACACAGAAGTACAAAGTGATGCTAGTAGCAGAATGCATTGACCCACTTAAACCATTGACCGAACAATACAAGTGGAAGTGGTAAATGTACTACCACATCACACATTAAGTGATCTCAATATTTTGATGGAGGTTGCATTTGTTGTGGCTGCAGTGCATTAAAAATACATGCAATATGAGCAGGAAATACCTTTAGGTCCTGCATCTTTGAGCACTATGAGTTATTACATGGGCAGGAGCTGTCCTTCAGCAGGCTAGCTGGTGTTTGTCAAACAACATTATCAAATAATGATCTGCACATATTATAAAAAGCCCTGAACTTCTCAGTATCTCATGACAATTCTTGACAAGATGACCATCAATTGAAGTGCTGAAAATGACAGTGTGAACTATATGTGACTATCTGCATTGCCTTCAAGTTTTGAAATTTCTTGTAATATATGCTTTTGATTGCCTGATGCCTGCAATAATTTAATCAGTGCCCTGCATGTTGCACCTTTTCCATGTAACAACTCTTGTCTTCTAGCCTTTTGAAAGTGATGCAATGTTCAAATGAATAACACATAGAATGAACATAGATTAACATTCCATTATTTACCTAACATTACATAGAGCTTAACTGTAAAATGTGCAACTGTCATTACAAAAATTAATTTGTTGATGCAGCGGAGCTTTAGTAAGTGCAATGAAGAAAATGGACCAGATAATGGCCTGAGCAAATGAAACATTTGTTGAACTAAAAAAATCAGCTCTGATAATAACATGGCAAAAATAACATCATTTAACCACTGACCAACATAAACCTATTTTGTTTTTGGGTGAAATTTGCCCTTCAGTTACACTTCTTTCATTATCATATTTTCACAAATTATAGGTCAAGCATCACAAGAATCACAGTACAAGAATGGCAACTGAAGCTGATGTGGTGAGCAACACAAATGACTTCAATGAGGAAGAGAATGGCATGGTTGAGGTCATCAATGGTGACAGTCACAAAACAGCAAACAAGAAAAAACGCAAGAAGAAAAAAGCTCCAGGTAATGCAGTGGCTGTCTGTAATGCAAGTGGGTTTTAGGGAGTGTTGGTGGGGTGTGGGGCTGGTCAAACCACATTCATGCTACTCATTGCCCTGTCACAGTCCTATTTGGAAACACCGTTTCATTAGCAAGAAGTGAAAACACCCTTCAGTGAGCCATGCATATGTTTAAATAGCATCATAATTTCACAATTTCTTGCCAACCATGTCCGTGATGGACGCGACTGCGTCTCTCAGTCCTATCGTCGCCACGCCGGTGTCGGGTGCTGTCGCCGGGCTGTCTGACTCTCGCCGTGCTGTGTGGTGCCGCGTCCAGGTGCCGTGCCACCCTCGGACGCGGCGTCGGTCGCCGAGGTTACCGACCTGCTGGACAACCTGCACGGCAAGCTGAACGGAGAGGCGGCTGACGAGGAGGAGGACGTCGACGACGGCCCGCCCGGTATGCAGACCGCGCACGGCGCTGCCGCTCTCCACAGCAGCACGTGGCAGGCGTCCCAGCCGGGCTTTAGTGTGACAGGGTGGATATTTTTCCAAAATTCCTAACAGCTAAACTCTGCAATGTAGGAGAAAGTACACAGTGGGCGTGCGGTTCATTTGGATTCGTGTCAGTCACCAACAGACTGTAGTGTAAAACCCTCGGTGCGGACGTTTTGAGTGTGATCGAGTGTGGTAGGGTGGTGGCCTCCATCTTCAGCGCATTTCCATGCTGCAATCAACCATTCGGTTTTGTTTTGTGTGCTAGGGATGAAAACAACAATGTTTGACCAGTTTGTTTTCTCTCCGCAGGTGACGCTGCCGGTAAAAAGAAGAAGAAAAGGAAAAAGAAGGGAAAAGGTGGCCCAGTCAAGCAGCAGACCGACCCTCCATCTATTCCCATCATCGAGATGTTCCCCAAAAGTTCGTGCACAATATCAGTTATGTTAACTGTCTTGTGTCGTGTCTCATGGAGACCGCAGACTTCATGCGGTGCGTTAGTTGATTCCGTATTTGTTTCACACTGCTGTACGCCTGGCACGTTACCACACGCCCTGGCACTGCCATGCGGGTTTGCTCGCTTGCGTTTTTTCCCGTGCCACGACTCGTCTATCACATTATCGCTCACCACTGCCTTCCCTGCCAGGCAACGCGCCCAAGGGTCAGGAGACGGAGTATCCCGTGGTTCAGGACTCGCGAGGCGCCAAGGACCGGTTCACGTCGGAGGAGGCGAAAGCGCGCGACAACGCGTATGAAGAGATCCATAACGAGATCCGACTCGGCGCAGAAGCCCATCGGCAGGTAACGCGAGGCGGTGGCGTGAGGGGCGCACGTGGCGTGTGTGGTCTCGGCACTGGGAGGTGCTGACCAAAACCTGTATTAATACTCAGTCTATCTTGGCCAGGGTGCAGAAAGGCTCTGTGGCAGTAGTCATGGCGTGGCACAGACGAGGCTGTGGCTAATGTAAGTAAGGAATCCGTGTGTTTCGACATGGTGCTCATAATGTCAGAAATCCTCAAGCTGACCCTGATAGAGCTTCAGTTATGGAGGCAACGCAGCGGCAGTCCAGCGTCGCGTTCTGACGGGCACGGGGTGACGTGACCCCAATGTGACTGTCATCACGTGGCGGCCCCCTCTTTACATAATGATTCGGCCGGGCGTGATGTCTTCTGCGCTGTGTTCAGCGCGCGCAGTGCCGTGACGGGCGCCCCCGGTCGCTGGCAGACCCGCCAGTTCATGCAGAAGTGGATCAAGCCAGGCATGACAATGATCGAGATCTGCGAGAAGCTGGAGGGGATCGCGCGCAGTCTGATCGTGGAGAACGGGCTCAAGTCGGGTCTGGCCTTCCCCACCGGCTGCTCCATCAACCACTGCGCCGCCCACTACACGCCCAACGCCGGCGATAAGACGGTGCTGCAGTACGACGATGTGTGCAAGATCGACTTCGGCACTCACATCAACGGTCAGTAGCTGCCAGCAGCGCCGAGACCAGCGGCAACGACCAGCGGCGTCAACGCCGGGGCGGGCGGTACCGGCCAGCGGCGTCGGCGCCGGGGCCGGCGGTACCGGCCAGCGCGTCGGCGCCGGGCCGGCGTACCGCCAGCGGCGTCAGCGCCGTTCGGGCGTACCGGCCAGCGGCGTCGGCGCCGGGGCCGGCGTACCGGCCATCTCGTCGGCGCCGGGGCCGGTACCGGCCAGCGGCGTCCATCGCCTGGGCGGGCGGTACCCTCCAGCGGCGTCGTGCGCCGGGGCGGCGTACCGGCCATCGGCGTCAGCCGGGGCGGCGGTATCGGCCAGCGGCCTCGGCGCCGGGGCCGGCGGTACCGGCCAGCGGCGTCAGCGCCGGGCGGGCGGTACCGGCCAGCGGCGTCAGCGCCGGGCTCACTGTTGGCAGCGGCAGCGGCACGGGGGCGGGGCTCGCTCTACGGTGACTGGGCTCGCTCCACGGCGGCGGGGCCCGCTGCACGGTGGCGGGGCCCGCTCCACAGTGGCAGGGCTCGCTCCACGGCGGCGGGGCTCGCTCTACGGTGGCGGGGCTCGCTCTACGGTGGCGGGGCTCGCTCCACGGCGGCGGGGCTCGCTCTGCGGTGGCGGGGCTCACTCTACGGTGGCGGGGCTCGCTCTACGGTGGCGGGGCTCGCTCTACGGTGGCGGGGCCCGCTCCACGGTGGCAGGGCTCGCTCCACGGCGGCCGGGCTCGCTCCACGGCGGCGGGGCTCGCTCCACGGTGGCGGGGCTCGCTCTTCGGTGGCGGGGCTCGCTCCACGGCGGCGGGGCCCGCTCCACGGCGGCGGGGCTCGCTCCACGACGGCGGGGCTCGTTCCAGGTGTATGATATCAGATAAGGTCCGTCAGACGCCAAATGACCACTGCAGTCGGCGCGCCCGAAACCCCCAATAAACAACAATAAAAGGCGAAGACCCACAAGTGTGGGTCGCTGGGGTATTAAGAACAGTTCATAATGTCAGCGGCCCTGCACGTCACCCCCGTGAGCAGGACAGTGTATAAGGCATGGCAACTCATCTGGTTTGGTTGTGGCTGACCCTGAAAATCATCATCGAACGCCTTCTGGGTTTAAGCTTGCTTGCTAAATATTTGTATCTGCTGTGTAGATCACCTGTGGTGCATATGACGTGGAAGAGATCTCGTTGCACATAGGACTTTGTGTTTTGCTACCACTTTCCTGCATCCTTTCAACTTTTATGATTTTCTGTTGCAGGTCGAATCATTGACTGCGCTTTTACGTTGACGTTCAACAACAAGTACGACAAATTGCTGGACGCTGTTCGAGACGCAACTAATACTGGCATTAAGGTAGTTGCCTTGTGATGGTTGTAATAACTGTGCCATCCATATGAAACAGTGTGTTCGGATTTCACGTGCTAGCCTTCAGATGATGTTTATTGACCTCGTATTCCCCTTGACACAGCCGCGTCATGTTGTCACCTACCAAGTTCCGATCGTGATTTTTTTATTGTTACCACGGTGTCTTTATCATTTTCAGTCAGTATGAGAGTTATCTAAAACCACCAGAATCTTCTAAAGACCAGACTTTTCACTCTGGATTGTCCCGTGAGGACGTGGGCGCATCAAAACCGTATCAACACGAGCGTGCAAAACAAGGCGGACCTGCATCTGACGCGTCGTCGGCGTTCTGTCGCAGTGCGCCGGCATCGACGTGCAGCTCTGCGACATCGGCGAGGCCATCCAGGAGGTGATGGAGTCGTACGAGGTGGAGCTGGACGGCAAGACGTACCAGGTCAAGTCCATCCGCAACCTGAACGGCCACTCGATAGCGCCGTACCGTGAGTGAGGCGGCCCAGCTGCCGCCGCGGCACGCACACACCCGCTCCGTCCCAGACGCTGCGTGCGCGCCGTTGGCTCTCGGAGTCTCTGTGCGATGCGAGAAGGGATGCGCCGTGTAAGCGCGGGCTGCTGCGTTGCGCAGTCATGTGAAGAGGATTGGGCCTGTTCCGGATATTGCATGCCAAGGTGCGAGCGATATCGTGTTTTATTTCCTCGGTGGGGGGGGGGGGGGGGGGACTTTAACAGGTGTACGTCGCCGCTAGTTTTTATTTTTTAAACACTTGATTTTTATCGTCTCACACGACTACCATGGCCAAGTGGCGTAGACTGCATCTGGGATGTTCACACATTCCCGGCAACAGAGCCGAGGTGGCGGGGCTCACACACTGCGCGCCGCTTCTGCCGCTGGGTGACGGGCGTCAAGCCGGCCAGGCGCCGCCACTGTCGCGCTCTGTCTCGCGCGCAGGCAGAGTAGGAGTTATGGTTTGGGAATTTTGGGTTGGAGCACTTTTCCTCAACTAGTTCGGAGGTTTAGTTTTCTATCCACCTGTGCATACGAGGTCGAGTAAGAAGGAAGTTTTCGTGTGTTGGCGTTGGTGTCTCTGGACACTTTGTCGGGTCTTTTCTATGTTTTCTTTGTCAGCTTCTGCTTCAACTAGTTTGTTTATCATCTAGGTGTTATTGTGTTCAAGCTTTCCATGTAAATGTATTGACTCAACTTATTTAGGCAGCGCTTGAATTTCATGCATATTTCGCAAACGGTAAAAGTCCTGCTGAGCTTTCTTCCCAGCTATCCCAAGAGCATTCTGTATGCCATTTATCTGCCTGGTTACTGGTTGGAGCCTTGGAGAGATTACGTTTTGGTGGGCATGCTACTTGATCATTAAATTTTCCTGCATTGCTACCTTAATCATCCCAAAACCTTCAGCAAGGTGAAATGGGTACAGTCGCAGGGGGGCTGAGGGGACATGTTGATCTGAATTTCAGTCAGAGGGGTTATGCCGTTTTAGGTTAGTTTCCAGTCCCAATCTCCTCAATGGCAACCAGAACCAAATCTGAATAACTCAGAAGAAAAGGTTCAGTAATAGGTGCGGAATTGTTGGCCCTTATATCCTAATGCAAGAAAAAATACGACTCCATTTGATAAGAATATTTTCACTGAGGTACGGGCCAACCTCCCGTCCCATATTCTGAAGTATATGGCACCTGAACAGCCGTGCGACACTCTTGTTATGGATGTAATTATGGTAGGCTTATGGACATGGATTGGTAGGATTGGAACAGTAAAAAATGCGAATTTTAAAAAATGGGATCCTATCGACAGAGACTCAAATGCTGAGAGGTATGTTTTAAACTGTATAGCATTTCTGAATTCCTCATCATCACCGCCATAAAAATGTGGAAATAAGTTTTTCACATACTTTGTAGGCCTTCGTGGCCTTCCATAAACTGCAAGAAAGGCATAGCCTTACATTGGTCCTTTATCAGATTAGGCTACCGGTCTTTTGCTTTATTGATATGTTAGCGTATGTTCAAAACTCAGAAGCTGGGATTTAGTGGCACTTGATTTGTTCAAAAATATGTCGATCTTGAGTTAAAATCAAAACCCAAATCCACGTATGCTAGGATTTGAATCACGAAGTGCCGCGCATCCTCAGCTATAACAAACTTTCCTAGTCTACCCTGATGCATACCCATTTGGACACAAAATGCAACACCTTTGGATTTCAAAACCCTGCACTGTGTTCATGAAATTCTTCAGCAACCCATTTCTCTGTAAAACAAACCAACCATTTTTCCTATGAAATGTAACATCTTAACTCATTAAATTTAGACAATTATTTTCTGCTCTGTCTGCTTCCCATCGGACACCGTGGAGTTTAGGTGGTCTAGGCATCGAGTACTGTCCAGTGCCCGAAATTCCTTATGTTTGTTGTTAAAATTTGCTCGCGAAATTTTAAGCCGTGTGCACAAATGCACAAAGCACCGACTGTATCGTAGCTGCAGTGGTCGTGATGCCCCTTCTCGTCCTGCATTTTGCGCTTTGTAATCCCTCCTCCTCACTCACCTCATGCGCCGAAAAACTACCCGTCAGCATGGATTTCGCGTTTCTTTCTTGTGTACCATATTCGGCTTCAGACGAGTCGGCGAAACCTGGGTTGATGTGCAGCATCACTTGCAATTTTCCGCAATCGTACGCAAGTTTTTTCAGAACAGATGTGCAAACACTGACGACGTAAACGCCCCACGCCGTGCAATAGCCAATCACGCACTGGAACGCCCGAAGAGCGGAGGCGTCTATGAGGCAACCCTGAGAGAAGCAGAAAACTATCACCCTTGGCGTGGCCGTCTGTGAGGGGTGCCGAGGAATGCTCCCGGGTACTTTTCCGGCTCGACTCCGACACGCGGAGACGTAAATGTAGAGGGGGCGGCGCGGATGTGGCGTACATCATGTTGTGGAGCGAGGACGGCAAAAGCGATGTAGCAGCGCAGGAGGCAATGTCCGGCTAGAAGGCTTGCGGTTGCAGTGTGGGTGGTAACGGATGGGACGGATTGGTGAACGTTGGTAAGAAAATCGTTTGAGATGGTTTGTTGGACTCATGAGCTCCTGGACGTCATGGAGCTCATGCTTCCTAGTATGAAATCCGGAGTACCAATTTTATCGGGTCTAAATTCCTTGACAATGTGCTAAAATGCCAACACTGTGCGCAGGCATCCACGCGGGGAAGACGGTGCCGATCGTGAAGGGCGGTGAGAAGGAGCGCATGGAGGAGAACGAAGTGTACGCCATCGAGACGTTCGGCAGCACGGGCCGCGGCATCGTCCACGAGGACATGGAGTGCTCGCACTACATGAAGAACTTCGACGTCGGCCACGTGCCACTGCGGTGGGTGACGCCGCTGCCCCGGCCACTGCCCCCTGTCGGCCCGGATAGGAGTGGGATGCGGCCAGGGGAGGGGTTGGTGGGGCGGGGGTCGGGAGTGTGGAGTGGTACAGAGCGGTGGGTGACGCCGCCGCTCCGGCCACTGCCCCCTGTCGGCCCGGATAGGAGTGGGAAGCGGTCAGGGGAGGGGTTGGTGGGGCGGGGGTCGGCAGTGTGGAGTGGTGCAGAGCGGCGGGTGACGCCGCCGCTCCGGCCACTGCCCCCTGTCGGCCCGGATAGGAGTGGGATGCGGCCGGGGAAGGGGTTGGTGGGGCGGGGGTCGGCAGTGTGGAGTGGTGCAGAGCGGCGGGTGACGCCGCCGCTCCGGCCACTGCCCACTGTCGGCCCGGATAGGAGTGGGATGTGGCCGGGGAAGGGGTTGGTGGGGTGGGGGTGGGGAGTGTGGAGTGGTGCAGAGCGGTGGGTGACGCCGCCGCTCCGGCCACTGCCCCCTGTCGGCCCGGATAGGAGTGGGATGCGGCCGGGGAAGGGGTTGGTGGGGTGGGGGTGGGGAGTGTGGAGTGGTGCAGAGCGGTGGGGACGGTGACAGTGACGGCACGGAACTCTTCGCCGCTGTGTCTGACGGCGTCGAATTTATTGCCGCTCATTAAACCCGTATTGGGGCTTCAGTCAGTCGTAAGGCCGTTCCAGGGGTCTGGTACGTTGGTTTGCGTGTTGAAATGTGGGCACGTTTTGGTGCATTTTTAACACGGTTATCAAGCATGAATATGTATTTACCAATGGCTGACTTTTCTCGCACGCTGCCGTGTTGCTTGGCACATGACACAAGCTTGGCGCACGTAGTGTTTGATACACGTCACAGTACAATTCTTGTGATAAACGCTGCTGATGCAAACATGACCCCAATCTGAACAGAATGATGCTTTTGCTTGGCATGACTCTCCTTCATTGTTAAAGGGAATGTTCCACATTTGAAGGTGTTGAAGCGAGCATCAGATATGATGAAATTAGCTCGCCTATTACTATTGGTATCCTTTTGGCGTAAAACTGTTTCGGACAAATTTCTCTGTAAGTTACCCTTAGTTCCGTTTTAACTAGCAGCCGTGTCCATTGTTTTATATCATGTAGCACTAAACGTGATTCATGATTGAAAAAATATGTTCGCCTTGAACGCTGCATGGTCTAGGGTTGACAAGATTTGGATGCCGTTGCCATGGCGTCGTGCAATGAACGTCTCTGAACGGCTCGACGATAGTATTTATGTTGGCATTGAACGCCTCATGGCCTATGGAATAACAAGATTTGGATGCCGTTGCTATGGCGTCATGCATGCCTCAATGGCCTTGAACTAATCTGCACGAAATAGTCTGCACATCCTTGGGGCCGTGTACCTCAGAAATTGGGGTGTTTCAGGTCTTAATAAGGGCAGGACTGCACTTCACCGAATGACCTTTAAAATGACTATTTCAATTTAAACCCCCATATAAATGCGGAATGCTCCCATTAAGTGGGAGATTGATGGTTTTCACCGCTCCCTCCCGCTCAGCCATGACATCCGTTCGCCCCGCAGACTGAACCGCTCCAAACAGCTGCTGAACACTATCAACCAGCACTTCGGCACGCTGGCGTTCTGTCGTCGCTGGCTGGATCGCCACGGCGAGACCAAGTACCTGATGGCGTTGAAAGACCTCTGCGAGAAGGACATCGTGCAGGCGTACCCGCCGCTCTGCGACGTGAAGGGCAGCTACACCGCCCAGTACGAGCACACGGTGGTACTGCGGCCCACCTGCAAGGAGGTGGTGAGCCGCGGCACCGACTACTAGACGGCCGGCGGCCGCAAGGCGGGGACGCCGAGCGCCCCTGGCGGCGAGCCGTCCCCGGCGGCGAGCCGTCCCCGACGGCAGGCGTCCCTGGCGGCGAGCCATCCCCGACGGCGAGCCGTCCCCGACGGCGAGCCGTCCCCGGCGGCGAGCCGTCCCCGGCGGCGAGCCGTCCCCGGCGGCAGGCGTTCCTGGCGGCGAGCCATCCCCGACGGCGAGCCGTCCCCGGCGACGAGCGTCCCTAGCGGCGAGCCGTGTCCGGCGGCGGGCGTCCCCGGCGGCAGGCGTCGCTAGCGGCGAGCCGTCCCCGACGGCCGGCGTTAGCGGTCCCGGCCCGTCGCTGCGGTGGTGGCTGTGTCTGTGTGGAGTCGCCGGTAGCTTCGAAATGGTGTCGGAGGTGGGCGGCTGGCGTGTTTTAACGGGACTCCGCAGGCTTGCGAGTGCGTTTTGCTAACCGTGACAGGTGTCCGATTTTTGGAGGCGTAACGGGTGGTTGTGCGCGAAAGGCTGATAATTTGGCTCGTGCGGCTGCAGAGCACTTGGGCGAGTTGCGAAATACGTACCCAGATCTTCACCGAGGTGTCACGCTGTGTGGCGGATGTTATTGTGTGCATATTAATCGTCCGATGTTGACGTGAAAACAACACACGTTAATAAAGCCCTGGTTTTTAATCCCTTGATCGAAAATCAACATGGATACAACACATGTAAATAAACCCCGGTTTTTTATCTGTTGATCCGATGTTGACAAAAAGAACACACGTTAATAAAGCCCTGGTTTTTGATCCCTCGAAGTGTGTCTCTGCTGGGCGAGTCGAGGCAGCCTGCGAGTCGCCAGCCGAGAATGCCCAGCTCATCGCCGCGCCACCGCTGCCTCAGCGTGTCCACATGCCCATCAGGCGGAAGCTGTGCCTCAGTGAGCGCACCGTCTGGGCGCCAGTCGTCTCCGCCTCCCTTCGAGCCCAGGCCGTGCCGTTCGGAGCCGACCGACGGTGCACCGGCGGCCCCCGCGCCGCTGGGCCGCTGTTTGTCGCAGGCCGTCACCGCGCCGCCGCCGCCGCCGCCGCCGGCTGACGGGCAAATTGTGTCGGCTGACGGACCGGACAGGGCGGCGCGCTGTCGCAGAGGCGGCGCACAAGCGGTGACGGGGCGCGCAGGGCCGGCCATGGCTCCGGACGGCGCGGTGGCCCTGCTGGCGGGTGCGTTCGCCGCCGGTGAGCAGCGGTGTCGTTATGACGGCACAGGAAGGAGGGATGTGGTCTGGCTGGCGCGTGGCTCATGTGTCTTGTGTCGCACGTAGGGGTCAGAGGACAATGCTGAAGCTCGCTCCCATCCATTGTTAAGTATCGTCGCGTATGAACCTTCATTACTGCTATAGCTTGGCACGCCGTGCTCCAAACTAAGCGAAGGCCCAAATACGTGATGTCTCAGCCTTCAAGGCTCCACACAGGTGACAACGTAATTTGACCCATCGCCGTTTGCTGGTCTTGGGATAATATCTAACACGGGTAGCCTGCCTGGGGGTAACGCCTGGACCTCGGAACGGGCTGGGCTACAGGGGGCGGTCAGGGTGAGCCTGAGTGCAGAGGACAGCCGAAATGAACTGGATCTATGGTACGCACCGTCATCCGCTGCCATCTCTTAAAGGTTATGTACGAGATGATGGGGAAATATTTAGATGCGATGCATAAAAAGGGCAGCGTCCTGCTAAAGCGCAAACACGATGTTTCCACGTCATATCTGATGCCTCTCCCAAGACCGGTTTGGTACGCTTTTCGATACGGGGCGCCATATGGTAAAAACCCGCTTCGAAACAATAGGATCCAAGCGTGGAGATTCTCGCCACGCGCCTGCTGTCAGACGGAGGAGGCGTCGCGCAGGTTATCCGCCCAGCTAACCGGCCCCACTGCCGCCAGTGCTGGCGCTGAAGGGCGGCTCTGTGGCGTCAATGACCATCACCGCCGGCCGGACGACCACGTCGGGCACGGTGTTGGGCGAGGCAACCGTGGCGGGCTCGGCGTCCGGTGCGGCGGCCGTGTCGATGGGCCCGGGCACGGCGCCGGCGCCCGGCACCCAGATGCGGACCAAGGTCACGCACTCCGGCGGCGGGCCGCAGCCAGCCGTCACCCGTCTGGTGCAGGAGTATGCCATACCCCACGGCCAGGCGGTGAAGACGACACAGATCATCAACGGCAAGGGGATCTCGGGCGTCACCGAGACCATGAAGATCACGCAGGTGAGCCGGGCGGCGCGCGTCAGAGCGCCGAGGCGAGCGCGGGCCCGGCGGGCGTGATGTGGAGCCGGCCGTTCGGGGCAGACGGGCGACCTGGGAGAGGTCAAATGTGATAGCGACGGTGTTCTCGAGACGAGGCTGACGCCAGAGGTGTGGTGGCGTGCGATTACGCGCTTACGTTCAGCTCGATTCGGCTAAAAAATGTGGCTCGGTACTCGCATAAGCTGATGATTGGCGTTTGTAGCATCTTTCCTGTGTAACAAGTGACCCAAATGGCAACCAGCACGATATAAAATGGACGCTAAGGTTTCGCTTGATTGTTATATGCCGCCCTGTCGATCGTTGAGTTATACCGCGTGCTCATTTGACGAGTTTACATCCCTCAGACTAAGGCAAGGCAGTTTTCGTCCAAGAAAACCACGCAGATTGGGAAGGCTCCGCCGGTGACTACGGTGACTTCAAGCACGCCGAAAGGAACCGAGGTCAAGTTGACCTTGGGGGCTGGCAAGCGAAAACTGGAGATGAATGCGCTCCCGCCGCTCGACTTCGATATCAAATCTCTCACCACGGAGTTCTTCAGCAACGAGAAGATCCCTGAGGGAGGGAAGTTTGACGTAAGTTGTCAGATTGCGCCATCCAAGAGAATCGTGGTCGGATGTTCCAATGAATACCCAGACTAGTTGCAATATCGCTAGCTTTGCGGTCTGCTCATTTTCATTGACGCTTGAAAATGTAAGGAGAAACGACTTAGAAACAATGATTTTTTCCCCTTTCAGGAACTATTAGACATCAATGCCAAGATTGATGAGGTGAAGAAAAAGGTAGATTCTGTCTTCAAGACGGGTTTCTTCGCGGCGGAAGACGAGTATTGGGACAAGATCGGCGGCATCAGTCAGCGCTTCGAAGATACCTCCAAAAAGTTCAAAGAACTCGGACTAAAATATCCTGAGCTCAAGTTAGAATTCTGAAAGGATTTTGGTGTTTTAGCCTTGCACGAGGCGCGGCATAGGAGGCTTGTTTCTAAAACGGTCTGATTAACGGCAGTACAACAAAGTTATATAACTAATTATGGGTATTCTGGTGTCGGAAAAACATAAAACTTTAAATCTTCTTTAATTTCTTCAGTTAATAGCAGCATCATAGCAATGCACATGTCACGTCAACGATAAAAAACCCCACACGACTGCAGTATCAAAACAAGTACTGCGGTTTCAGTTTTATATTCACGAAAATAGACGCAGGACAGAATGAATTGCTCCCGCAACAATGATTACTGGAAAGCACAGTACGTAAAACAATGACAGGCACTTCTAGTCTAGAACAACTACGCCTCAGTGCACAAACAGTACTACTTGAGTAACTTAGCGCACTCAAATGCCACGGCCAGAGTAAGTGCGACAGTGCCCTCCAAAACAATGAGGACTAGGGAAGAAAGATAGTAGATGAGCGGCAAAACAACCGCGTACGACAGGTGAGAAGCAAACCATCGGCTTTTGCCGAGTGCACGGACGGAACCAACCACATCACATGTCGCGCCTCTTCGCAGACTAGATGGACGGACTAGAGCGTACTACTCATATCACAGACGGGCCGCTGCGGCACGTACGGCGAGGACCGTGCCGGGTGCCGACACCACGCGCCGCGCGCCCCTCCCCTGCTGAGTGAGACAGCAGCGGTGCCTTGCCGCGACATCAGCTCCGCACACCCGCATCCGCTGACGCCAGCCCTACGGCGGGCCTCTGAGATCGCGCGCCACGCCTGGTCACGCCCTGCTCCGCCACGCCGCCCGACCAGCGCCGGCCGACCGAGCTCAGCCGGCGGCGCCCCGCGAACCTTGCCGCGCGCCGCCCGGCTAGCCGTCCAGCTGCACGTTACCCAGCCGGTTAAGCTCTGTCAGCTCGTGTGACTTGGGCGACACGTACTCGGTGGCCAGCGACCAGACCTGCACGGCCGCCTGCGCGTCTCCGGTGGCCAGCAGGTGCATGCTGCAGCACACAGGCACGTCACGTGGTCACGCGCAGCAGACGCCGCACTGACTCAACGATCTCCGGCAGCGCCTTCAAGACAGCTAAACACCGGAGTTGTGCACGCTAGCTTATTTAAGTTTAATATTCAACCGAAAACTTGGCTCATCCGCGCGCCTGCCACCAAAAGTAAGAGAAACGAAAAAAAAAAACGCAGGACACACCTTTGTACTGGAATTATAAATACCATTGCATTTCCTCGACAATTGCATGTCGTGGCAAAAGCACGCGCCTTAGTTTTTCGACAAATTAAAAGCACAAGTTTGGCAAATTCACACGCCCTCTCCAACGACAACAACGCAAAGCAGACAGGGTGTTGGTCGGCAGTGAGCACTGTTTGTTCTCACACCACTTCCCTCACAGACAAACGCGCACATCTCCTCACACGTGTCATTTGCCTCGCACAGCCAGCATTGGCTATCAAGAGCACGCATCTGCAAAGGTACGCGACTTCGATGACGGAAACCTTTGCTGGTTTGGCAGTTACGAGTTTTCGTCTTTTTGGTACATTTGCGCACTTCAGTGACTTTGTAACTGAATGGAGACACACATCTCTCACGAGGGCTAGAAATCGCGTTATACATTACATCTGTGAGTCTTTATCGCGCCACATGACTACTAAGAACTACTTCAACTGACAAATAAAAATATTATTTCCCCAAATCGCGTTTTTTGACTTTGGCTGCTGTACACGTTCAACAAACCACTCTAATGACAAAGAGAAAACGTCAGCAAGTGCAAGCCAACTCATTTTTGCCATCTTCGATACTCCTCTTAGACTGCCGATTGGGTTATAATCTATGTTCCAATCGACGGGTAATTTCAGCACATTTCTGCTAACATCGGCTGGTCATCTAAACTGACAAAATGGGCCCGTTGAACAAATGATCAAATGCCAGTTCACCCTATTTTAAACTTTGGACGTCAGGAATGCCGGGCTGGCATAAAGAAGTGTACCACCACCATCCATACCACCAAGCAAAACGCAGTGACAGCGACAACAATGCAAAGAAATGGCGTCAACACGGAACCAGCAGTGCCCGCCTGGGCACCACGAGCTATGCACAGCACGCCAGCTCACCAGCCTTGTGCACCTCGCCAGCCCGGGAGAGCGCACGAGGGAGGCGCTCCGCCCGGCGCCTCACTCACTCCTTGTCGTTGAGCCGGAGGGCGGTGACGGCGACGGCCTTCTCGTGCACGCGGATGCTGTGGAGCGGAGCGCCGCGACGTGTGAAGTCGTACACGTGCTGCTCGCCGGCCGCCGTCGTGACGAACACGACCAGCGGCCGGGACGGCGAGAGCGAGGCGCCCGTCACCTCCGCGTCCAGGTTGATGGACTGCAGCGCCGACACCTGCCGGCAGGTCACGGTAGGTCACGGCAGGTCACGGCAGGTCAAGGCAGCACGGTCAAGGGGTCTGATGGGCCAATCAGGAGTCTGAGGATTGGCTTAGGCGCACTGCAAGGCCCATCAAGAGACCTGACGAAGCGGATCAAGTGGTCTGATGGACCAATCAAGAGATCTGAAGAGCGGATCGAGAGGCCTAAGGGAGCAGATCAGGTGGTCCAAGGAACCAATCAAGAGATCTGAGGAGCGAACCAAGACAGCTAAGGGACCGATCAAGAGTCTGAGGAGCAGACCAAGAAGTACCAGATCACAGGGTGCACCCCGTGGTGTGCAGAGGGGCCAGGTCTGCTTAGCGCAGCGTCCCACAGCCGGCTGAAGTGTAGAAGTCCTCAGGTGTGTGGTGACAGCTGAAGTCGGGTCTCGTCACAGATGCTTAACGCCAGACAGCCGTTTATCGCATCCAAGAATTGCAATTGCTGTGAGCACAATACAACTGCATCTAACACCAAAAGACGTGCCAAAAGTGAAACCCCACGCCCAAGAGATACCGGCCTGCGGCCGGCCCTCAGACCTATCAGTTCGCACCTGCAGAAAGTTGCAGATGCGGACCTCATTGTCGGAGCCGGCCGACACGAAGATATTGCGGTGGAACCGGGAGCATTGCAGCATCAGCACCTGGCCCTGGTGCGGCTCGAACGTGGAGGTTAACCGGGTTCAGGAGGCCCTCCACCCGGTCACCGGTGACCGCTGGGGCACAGGTGCTGTCAGACACGGGCAGGGCGCGCCGCGGCTGCGAGCCGGGCCGGGTCAGGTCACAGGACCGGTCGGCCGATGAACGTGGCGATCCACGCGGTTATCAGTTCAACTGCCGTGGCAGACACAAGAGACAAGCGCTACATAGAGACGAGCGCAGCTGAATACCTCTTATAACGGCTCTCACCCCTCACCCATGATCAGGTGACAAGGAGTGTTCCCATCCCTGTCCTCAGCAGCACTGAGAACCATGCGTTGACACGTATGGTTTGGTTCCAAGTGCATTCTCATCTTTACTAACACAGCCTAGAAATCAGGATCGTTAGCCGGGACAACCCCTACAAGAATGTCTAAACAAGAAAACATGACAGCAAGAAGTACACAGTGATGTCATGAATGAAAGTGGTGTCACATAGGGGTCCCAATTAATGATCGAGTCCACAACTACCGCTTCCCACGTTGTTCACAACCACCGCTTCCCTTCCCAAGATTCCACTGCTAAAAATCAGTGTTGTTGGCTATAATACCACACATCTAGCGACGAGGCGCGATGCAGGCGTATCGGCGCGCTTGCCGACACCCCTGCCGCCTGTCGACTGAACACGCTTGCTGTTAGCATGGTGGCAGAGGCGACGGCTTTGTCAAATCTGGCGCACCGGAAGTTGATGCTGTTGTTCGACTACTTTGCGGCTATGACTGGGTAGCATGCTGATGAATATTGAGACTGTGGGTCATAGGTGTAGGAATGTTTCAAAATGTGGGGGGGGGGGTACGAGCTCAGGGTGTACTTCAGGAACTTTTTCTGAAAGCCGGCCCGATGACCGGGGGGGGGGGGGGGGTAGGGATGGAGGTTGTTAACGCTCTTTATTCAAATGGCATGGCTGCTATGCTAGATATGCATCTAGAGCTGTTTCTCACTGGTGCGCGATCTTGCCTATTCGGCTCATCTGTGATTTGGCAAATAAGGCTATCCAGCTTCCCTAGATTATTCGTCCATTTAACATGGAAGCATCTGCCTCTACAGTGTAGATGCCAAAACAGGGTCTGGATATAGGCTGATGAGAATTTTGACGGTGGATCGATGGCTCACAGTGCGACGGATTTTTCATGCGCCTTCTTTTCGCTGGCTGCTTTTCAAGAGATAAGGCTTGTCCCAGCATTTTGGGCGGAAACAAATTCTGGGGCTTGAAACTGCCAGAAACAATGAAAAACCCTATAATACTGGAGGTTCTCTTTTAAGAATCAAGCCACATAATAAGGCCCATCTTTCATATGTTCCTTATCTGGGCCCTGCTCCTGTTCGCCGTCGGTGGCCACTGCCCGGATGCCTCCCGCACGACTGACTGCGAACTGATCGTATGGCTGCTTTGATGCATACTTTTGGATCAGCGTTACTGGTACATGGTGTATGAAACATGTGCTGGACACCTGTAACAGTATCTTTTTCCGGATTATCTTCCCTCACACCGCACCATCGCAGAAAAATAGCCTCCGGGAAGCTGTCTGCTTTAGGTATGAATTGGCCCTACGGACACTTCACTACCCATCATGCAACGTATACGACTTGATCTGCTTTTGTGTGTAGGCAGGGGCGTAGCTAGAGCCTTGCCAGGGCTGACAAAAGCCCATCTTATGGTGATCCCCCCCCCCCCCCCAAGAAAAAATCCCCGGATATAGCTTACTTGTTAACAAGTGACACCGTTTTCTTCGTTTTATTGTTATTTTTACCTTGCAACCAGAACGGAAACCAAGAGCTACCGTGAGCTCAATTCTGTCTGTATTTTGAGGTCCATAAACTGAAGAAATCAGGCGTTGAACGACTGAATGCAATAAATCACCGGCGCTCTTTACTTACAATGGTTAGTTGACTCTTTCTAAACCTACAGAATTCAGAAGCCTTGTCAAAAATTTTGTCTGGGTTCAAAAGACATTGAGGACATTGTGAAGTTAGGTTGTAGATCGATATGTTTGATCCAAATTTGAAGGTGAAGATTTGATTGCAGATCGAGCGATCAACAATGTGTATTAACATGGCCAAGCCATATTTGTCTGAAAATGTTTACCATTCAGTCAGAATCGAATAGTGATACAATTTATGTAACGTGCTTTTTAATATGCGCGCTTGCAAATCTTAGTAGCATAAAACTCGACACCAGGCGTTGCAGTCTCCTTAGTCCGCGGAGCGTTAGCCTAGTAGCTAACATTTAGCCGTGGCCCACCGGTGGACGAAAATGATGACGCTTCTGAAATGATTATCTTTAAACACTGTAATCGGCTAGTAATACAAGTTACGCGATGTCATTTTGAGCATGCGCACTCGAATAGGCCTCGCCCCCCCCCCCCCCCCCCAGGCGTTGCAGTCTCCGTGGCCGCGCAGCGTCGGCTTAGCAGTTAATATTAGATTGTGACCAACATGTGGACGAAATTGACGACGCTTCTAAAACGTCCTTGAACGCTTCATGACATCAGATCTTACATTAAGAAGACAGTCTGAGCGCATATTTCACGTGTGCAATTTTTAGACTCATGAAAAGAATGGGGGTGTTAGCTTTTTTAAGCAAAACGTAAAGCAAACGGAGACAAACTTTTAGTTCGCAAAACTCAAAGCACCGCGAAGTGGGGCTGGAAGCTGGCGGTTGAACTGGAAGAGTGAAGGTGGAATCTCTATTTTTCGTGTTTTTGCAACTATTTATCTATCCATAATATAGATTAACACGGTGCCCGCCATCTGGTGGCATTTGCAGTGGCCAAAACTTTTCGGTTTTACGGAACCTGCAACCCAGACCATCTTTGTCCTTGCTCGCGAGGTTGCGGGCGGGCATGTTCAAGCCTTTTGGTGTGACTTGTTTCAAAAATACACTGTGAAAAAATGAACGTTCTCATGCAAATATGGCATGACCTTGCTCTTTTTTAAGCTCCTTTCGTCCCACCCTATTCAACAATAATGAGACACCTATTTACTTAATAATGAGACCCCTTTTTTCTTCCGGGCAAGGGGCCTCTTGAGTAGAACACCAGGGGGTACATTACCGGTTCCGGTCAAGGGCTGAAGGGTCATTCCGTTCCATAACAAAGTGTCTTCTGGCTATCATTCTGGTGGCACAGGGGGGGGGGGGGGGAGATCTCCTGGTCGATCCGAAGGTCATTAGAAGGATATAACATATCGCGTTGTTCCCACCCCTGACATGGCAGGCCTTCTGACCCGCGCACTTGGCCCCGGATCAGCACAGGAGCCCTAATTGACGCAACGACATCCCCGTTCACTGCAGGTAGTCCGATGGTTGTCACATAGGCTTCCGTTTCCTGTTTGTCTGTGTTCTTCAGAGATATTGATTTATCTCTGACTGTAGATTGTAGATGAAATGAGGTTTCTAATTTGTTTTAGCATGGCTAACTCATGTTTGTCCTTAAAACACTAAAGATCCTGTCACAGCTGATCACTGATAAGAAAACTACGTAATATGGTCTCGAACACGCAAACTCGCAAGTCATAGCAATAACTGCCTCGACGCCCGGCGCTGCAGTCTCCACGCCGTGCGGCGTGGGCCTTGTGGCTGTAACACTAAGCGGTGGCCAATGAGCCAGCGAAAAAGATGGCGCATCTTAAGGGGGATGGCCAGTAAACCAGGTAAATCGGCATGCATGTTTAATGCAGTGCAAAAGTAAGCCAAAATGCAACCTCAATCTGAAAAGTAGGGGGGGCAGTTAACATCGCTGCCCCCCCCCCCCCCCCACCACCTTGAAAAGTGCGGTGGGGCATGGCCCCGCTGCCCCCCCCCCCCCCCCTCCCCCTGTCCTGCTCCTACGCCCATGCTGTGGGTGTGTATCGCTTGGACTCTGCACCAACTTATTTTCACGATTGTGGACCAGAAAATCCATCCCGCCCTTGCAATTAGCTGGTGTGAGGGGCGGGGACTCGCCGGGGCAGACTCAGCAGCTCCAACTCTGGCGCAGAGTCCCCGAGTCTAACCACGCCCCCGTCAGCGTACCTCCCCAGTGCTGCTCACCCGTGATGGGCACCTCCGAGGCGAACGAACAGAGGAAGATGCCGCCGCCCTCTGAGCCCAGGAGGAACTGGTCCGGGTTGTCGTGGCTGAAGGCGAGCGCAGTCAGGCCGGCTTCGGAGTCGGCCCGGCCCGCCCGCCGGCCGGCCGCGCGCGGCAGCTGGTCAGCCATCAGCTGAAACCTGGCGCCCAAACGCGTGTTGAGGCAAGGCGGGCGCACAATGAAACCTGGGGCCCACACACACATACGCACACGTACGCGCACGCGCACACACACACAGACACATACACATACACACGCACGCACGCGTGCGCACCACACAGAGACGGGAAGCAGGCGCACACGTGCGCTGAAGCGTGACACTTACAAGGAACCTGGCGCACGCGAGCTGAGAACTGGCGCGCATGGACTAGAAGTCGGCGCAAGCACCGGCCGAAGCCCGGCACACACGCGCACTAAAGCATGGCGCATGCACTCTGATAACTGGCGCGCACAGGCATACGCGACATGAAATACATGACATACATGGCACACGCATACACGATGCATGCATGACATACGCGACCTGAAACACGGCGCACGGAAACCGAGAACGGATGCACACAGTCCTAGCAAACACCGACTGAAACCGGGCACAAACGGACCGAACCCCAGGTACGCACACTGGAATGCAGCGTACATGCGCTGAATCTTGGCGCGTGTATTAAAGCACGAGACGCAGATTAGTATATGGCGTACATGGACTGAAACACGCCGCACACCGCTGAAACAGGACATGAGAGCCGACATCCATCACACATGCTAAAACGCGGTGCATACGAACTGCAACACGGTGGGCCATGGAACGAGGCCATCTCAACGTCATCTCGATCCAGTAACAACCGCCAACAGAATGTGACGTTTGTCGCGTTACACCTAGCATGAACATCATTGCATTAACTCATAAGGAATGTGTTTATGCGGACGAGATGTCAGTTGTTCGTGCACTTGTCTGCTGCCTGAACCGGCTTGGGAGCACATGGTCCTGGCCAGACGGATGGTGAGAGCACGGCGGACTTACGGGACTTGTGTGTCGCAACTGAGCCCTACAACGGCCGGAGTCGAGGCGCTCCGGGTCGAGCCCCGAGTCGCAACAGTCACTAACTTTTTGGTGAGCTGCAGCTGCTGCTTGGCCTCCGAGTACTTCCAGACGAGCAGTTTGCCGTCGCGGGAGGCGGAGACGAGACCGTAGCCGGCCGACCTGGCCAGCCAGTGGAGTGCGCTGATGGGTTCGCGATGGCCCTGGATGACGGCGGCCGTCGAGCCCAGGAAAGGATCGTCCTCACGCGACAGGTTGTACAGCTGCATCTCCCCTGTCGCGCACAGCGGCGTCGCGGCTTGTATTAAAGGCGCGGGATTGTGTCGAGCGCGGTACTGACACCTGACAGCACGCACGCATGGGGGCCGTTCCAGGAAAGGCAAGGCATGCCTGATGGCATCAGTAGCAGCTGATCCAATGTTGGCGCTCAGCGCAGGCCAGAACTGGCGCCGGCACAGTCCTTGAATTACCAGCCGATATAAACCACTCCGGCCCCACCAGGGATGGTTAACATGGTCCGGTAGCTTAGTATAGCGTGATCCGGTAACATTGCGCGGACGTATCACATTACCCGTTTGTTTCTACACCCGAACCAGGGGTAAATCCACAGAAACCCACGCTGATTCGTGAAGCAAGAACTCGTTACCCCGGCGTTCGTGAACTTTCGTTGGAGCACTGACAATCGAATGCAATCACACTAAGATACGTACGCCCGCAATAAGTGGCGTACGTTGTCGCTGGGGGCCTAATTATCGCATTTTTACCGGAAAATGCTTAATGGAGTTCGTGACAGCTGTCACCATGTAACTTCGGACACATTGCATTGCCCTATCTTGCAACCTCTCTCAACCAAAACATTGTAACGATTGGCCAGGGGATGAACACTGGACAGATCACATGCAACACACGCTTCCAGTCAATGCACATCAGGTGGTTGATGCGCAGGCCTCGTTTTCTGGCTCATTGTTCTCACCTGTCACCTTGACCACAGCCAGCGTGCTCGGTTCCGACGGGTGGATTTCTGGCTCATTGTTCTCACCTGTCACTATGCCCACAGCCGCCATGCTCGGTTCCGACGGGTGGATTTCTGGCTCATTGTTCTCACCTGTCACCATGCCCACAGCGAGCATGCTCGGTTCCGACGGGTGGAAGCGGACGTAGCTGACGCAGGAGCGCAGCTCCAGTTTGTTGTACGGCTGATTGACGTTGAGGTCTTTCCTGCACAAACACGGCGTGAACAATGCACAGCCTGCCATGTGCGCTACCTTTCGAGCCTTCCAACTCGTGGGTCTAATAGACACTTACAGCATAGCTCACAGCAAATACAGCACAGTCCACATTTTCCATGAACCTGAAAGTAAATACTCTTTAAGTTGGCCCAAAAACCAATGCCTTTAACACACGTTCAACACGAAAGGGCATATGACGTTGCGACTCCGTTAACTATGTCCTTGCTTACAGCGTCGTTATTCGGAAATTTCAGGACTCATTACGGCTTGGAGACGATGCATCCTGCTATCAAAATACCGCTTCCTTGGGCCGGTCAGATTTTCACAACAAGCGGAACGAGGTTTCTCTTCTTGCCATAATGGAAAAGAAGGCAGGGACAGAGAAGCACTTCTTCACCAAATTCGACTCAAGAGATAATTGCATGCCCATTTCGCTACCACGGTGCTGTCGTTTTCCACACAGCCGCCCCGGCCACACGTACCTGTTCACGTTCCAGAGCGCCAGTGTAGTGGAATGCTCGCACCAGGACTCGTGCTCGCTGGCACCGTACCCCACGGCGACCACCGAGCCCGTGGAGCTCCAGGACAGGCAGGCCACCTGCATACTCGACTGAGCGGGACAGGCAGAGAGCATGAGGTGGTTTCACCCAGGTACCATCAGGCAATGTGCGGGACAGTGGATCATAATGATAGCTGAATGTTGACAGGTGAATGGTGTATTCAGACACAACATATTCAGCATTGTGAGCTCTCACCATGCAATAATATATGGTGGAGAAAACCTATTGCCTTGGAAGAGACTCAAACAACCCAGATACTTCCAAGTCAGCTGTGTGGACAGAATCAGTGACATCACAACGTTTTCAGTTTCTGCTGTAGCCATTCTTAGCTGCGATATACCCGACTTGATACATCCTCGCAGGCCGCGCGCGCACCTGGCTCTTGTCGGCCGGCTTGGCACCGAGCCGCAGCGTGAAGAGCCGCCGCACCGGCTGGTCGTCGTCCTCCTCGATCAGCTGGTAGCCATCGAAGGCGCGCGACTTGTCCGCGCGCTCCAGCTCGCCCAGCACCAGCGCTGCGGCGCGCACCACGAACGCCACCAGCGACGGCTTGACGGCAGCGTCCGGTGCCGCCACCGTCACCTCCCGCTCCGGGTCCGTCTGGCTCTGCCGTGACGACCCGCGGCTTCAATATGGCTACACAGTGCAGGTGCTTTGCTGGTGCAGATGTCCACAGTGCTGATGCAATAGTGTAACTGTTGGACATGGCTGCATCAATTTGCAGCTGCCAAAGGTGCAGCAGAAGAGAATGATGGTCCCATATTTCCCCCATGATATAGCGTGAGAGTTTGTCACAATTGTAAGGCAAAATATAAATCACTGTCAATGGAGGAAAGCCACAGAACATTACAGGAAACACATCTTACCTCTTTTTCATCATGACCAATAGTCTGTGTTTCATGCTCAGCAACCTTCAGTGGTTCACACTGTGTACCATTCTCAGCTAGTTTGCTGAAATCATCATAGACATCCTTAATTGGAGCAGGATCAGTCAACACAAGAAAAAAGCAAAGCAAAAATTTCAAGATAATCAAGTTGGATGCCAAAAAGGTGATGAGTGCAAAATGATTAAAATAATCAGAAAAACCATACATAGCTTGACATAGGTTGAAGGATGTGCACAGTTCATTGAGCAATAGCTATTGCTTATCTGATTTGCTTATGCTCATATATCATTAAGGATTGAATCAAGTCTACCAGGAACAAGACAATTTTACCTCAGGAAATTTTAAAAACATTCTTTAACATACTAGCAGACTGTGATCCTCCCACACATAGCTATCATAAGTGGTGTGACCATGATGATGTGACTGAGTGAAACTTACTAGAAATTCCCTTACCTTTTACCTTTCCAGCAGGACTTGAATCCAATAGCATCAAAGCTTACCTCTGATGCTTTAAACATCTCTATACACAAGTTTAGTTTGATTTGTCGATTTCACAGCTGTCTACATGCAAGTATGCCCTAAACTTGCAATCAGGACTTCAAATGCTTTTGGAACATGCCTGGGAAAGAATCATAAAGGCCTGCATTCAATACCTCAATCTGGTCTGCAAATAAATTGCTGACAACCTGCTTATACTACACCAAACATGCCTTTCAAAAAACAAGATGCTAACAAAAGTAGTGCAACATGATGATGTTGTTGAATGATCACATAGTAAACCTCCAGTCTGATTTGTTCAGGTGCATCCTGGTGCTCCATGATATGCAAAATTTTACAATGGAGGTGGGGCTCAGACCAAAATTTTTGGATGGAAAGCCCTGTTTAAGCATGCTAGGTCTGAACATTGTGCTTATGATCTGTTCACTTTCACCACTATGTCTGATTTTTTTCTTTCATTACTAATTCATATGCTGACACACATGAAAAACTTGATAACACAGGGCATGGGACCTGATGCCAACTATTGAATATGTCAATGATTTGGTTCACAACCACTTAATAAAAGGGCAAAATATTTCACCAAGGCAACCATACTCACTACATGTCTCACACAAATTGCTGAGTAACAATTACTTTGAAACCAACAGTGAAAATCACTCTCCTGCTGGGGTGGATAGAAAACGATGGAAATTAAGCATCATAAGGGAAGATAAGAGATTCAGCCACGGGCTTGTCCTAGCACAAGGGTTACATTAGCGCTGAGTAGTTAAGATGTCTTGGGCTTCAAATTTAGAAGACGATGTGAGATAACATACAAGGAAAATTATTGGTTATAATACCAGGCCTGACCCGTTCCATCACCCCGTTCGTTTCAACCTCAAACGGCCCGAACCTGAGATCTCGCGTAATAAATAGTAGCAACGGTATGTGGGAAAGGCTCCATAACTGTCTTATAAGCGCCATTACGAGCATCATACAGTGTTTATACGAAGTCCATAGCAACGCCTAACAACAGAATCCAATGAGTAAATGACGTAATTGGTGCTTGGATAAGATGTTCATGTTCGTGGCCACATGCTTTTCAAACTGATGAAATTGGTGCTTCAAAACAATAACTAAACGATTGCAAAACAAGTAATAGCAAAACAGTTGCAATATGGCTAGGTACTCCAAATTTTGTTGCAGATTGCGTTGTTTATATACGTTGAGGACATAGATATATTCATGGCTGAGGAGAACAACGTTCATCACATTGATATGCATATCTATGGCTCATCAAGTTGGCCCTAGATTCACATTCATATTCAGGTCTACATGCGGGATTCCGAGGACTCCTCGGATTGGCCTGAAACTTTGCATACGGATGCAGTTTAATCTTCTGAGCATATCCCATTCGGTTTGTCCACCTAGTGAAGCGTTTGGATAAGCATTTGTTTTCGAAGGTCACAAGCTGGAAGTCAACATTATTAGAAACATAAGCTTCGCAACTATAAAATTTCAGTTTGATCCCTGCGGTGAGGGATCCGAAATACCGCCGTTGGTGGGAACAAGCTGAATCGGGAAAGGCTCAAGGTATTTCCGAAGCGGGAGCATTACGACGTAGCGCGTGTTCCTGCCCTCATCCCGGAGAGCTCGTTCAGACCTAGGTGAACATTTTTAAAAGAACTTATTTTGACAGGAGTACGATACCAATGACGTATTCACACAGCGGCATTTACTATCGGCACAATCGGTCATACCGAGCGTTGGTCTGTCACAAATGACAACATTTCGGTAGCAATCCGTGGGCCTACACAATCAAAATTTCGGGTTCAAGAAGATTCAACCGTTACACAATTCAGTGAAGAGGAGCGGGCAATCCATTACTTGAGTTGGATGATCGAAATCGGAACGGGATAACCAAAGCATTAAGTAAGCTGGATCGTTAGCAATTTAGGCAGCAAGCCATCGGCAAGTTTAATCATTACCCAATTTAGTAACAATGATTCTGAACCAGGATGACAAGCAACAGGATGAAGAGTTTTGGCCGAGCTGAAAAACAGAGTACAAGTCGGGCTTCACAACGGAGCCAGGCCGGCTCATCATCAGAGAACCCGAGTACTTCACTTGACATTGTGCGGAGGCCGGCAGGTGGCAGGTAAGCAGGATTCTGGCCCCAGGTCACAACTGCAGGCCTAAACGGGCCGCCATGCATATCGGTGCCAGGCCCGGGAGCGCTGTGGGGGTATTAGGTGATCCGTGCCGCGCCGCCTCGCGGCCGGCTCTACATATCTGAACAGAGAGGCTGAGTTTGCTATGTACACGTTTTTTAGCCCGCATAATTGGAAGAATGTCGTTTCACGTACGCCACCAAGCGAATTTAAAAGCCAGGCGCCTCATTGCCCGTAGCACACGTCAACGCCACGTACCGATCAAGGTGAGTAACTGGGCGATTGAACGCGTAGCTGAACACACAAACAATAAGCCCCCAACAAAATCAAGCCCCCAATGTGTAAGTAAAAAATGCCCACCACCCACCCGCAAAATTTTGCGTCACCAAAAACGCCGTATCGTATTTAGATGATCACGGCACAAACAAAAGGCCCCGTTGCAGCGTGCACCTGCTGGTGAGCAGTGATCAACCGACCGAACCAACGCAGCTACGCCGCATCGCCGTTCCTCGCGGAGGCGTATTGCGCAATGCGTAATGCCTCTGTACAGCGTAATGAGGCCTACAATTTCCATAAGCAGCATCTTAATCACCAAAAAATTCGCTGTCTGCTTATGAATACTTTCCGTTTTCTAGTAACCGTTCTTGGTCGCCTGTGGGTCCCAAGACGTCTAAATTTGTTGTGTTTTTGTTTTGTTAGAAGACTGTGTCCATTAGGCCGGTTATGGGCCCCTTCGGAGCTTAAAGGTGCCCTCGACATGGTTCATAGCGGTATGGTGCCGTGCCTTCTCCTCTCCCCCCCCCCCCCCCCCCTCTGTATCCGCCACGGCCCCGAGCGACTTAATAGATGAGGCCCGCTAAAAAGGCCCATACATTGCAATAAAAAGTACCCAAGGCACAGCATGGAGGGCCCCTGAATGGTCGAGTGTGCCCGAACGGGTAAACAGATTGCGCCCCAGACAAGAACGCAGGGCCCTCTATTCAAATAAGAAATACTCACGGCACAGTGTTGCGAGCACTGCACCATCTAGGTTGCCCGAGCAGGTTAAAATATAGTGCCTCCGTCAAGAGCTTACGGCCCTCCATTCAAATAAAAGTAGCCAGAACCTAACGTAGAGGGTCCCCGAAAAGTCGAGTGTGCGCGAGCAGGTCAACAGATAGGGCTCCCAACAGGAGTGCAGGGCCCTCCATTCAAATACGAAGCACCCAAAACCCAGTGTGGAAGGCCCCCGAAACATGGAATGTACCCGAGCAGAATATCGAATGGTCCCCGACAGGAGTGTAGGGCCCCAAAGTCAAACGCCAAGGCCCAGTATACAGAGCCCGCAAGCAACTCAGGATGGCCAAAGATGTATTGGTGCCGATAATACTTCAGCCTTTGGGGACGAAGTCGGCCTTGTTCATGAGCATCAGGCTCTTGCATTTGTCCGAAGACTTCACAATGGCGGTATCGTCCCTCTTTATGCCTGCTGACTCGTGTCTCGAAGTAGTGGTGATCGGCGCGTTTTCTATGCCGCAATCTCGGTGAAACACGTCAGGTGGTTTACATAATTAAAATATATTAGACATCAAAATCATGTGCAACATAGGGCAGCCAACCCGCATTGCAGACCGATGGACCACCTTGCGCGGAACAAACCCCGACACAACCAAGATTACGGTAGGATCACTTAGCTATGGCACGACGAGAGACGGAGCAAAATACGGACGAGTGGTATAGTTATGTGGTACAATTTCTTGCACCATCAAGGCAATCTTTCGTCGCGAACGATGCATTTCAGTTCCGTAACAAGCGTCTCGGCCGTTTGGAACAAAGGATGGGACGCAAATTGAGAAATGGGGTGACTCTGTAGCCAGAACATCTGCACTTGATATGCGAGGCAACACATTTGGGAGACATGACGTCGCGGGCTGTCAGTCAGAGCTTACGCTCGGCTGGGCTCGCAGCTGATTTATCTCTCATCCCCGCAACAAGGATACAATGAGGCGTGCAGCAATGCTTGACGTTAAACTCAGCATAATGGGGTACGATGTACCTACAAGCATACACTGGACGGATTACTGACCATGGAGATTCGGTCTTGCTTTGTTTAACTGCAACTCATTTAGACCATACAGACAATTGTGCAGGCATGGGGATCGAAAACACGAACGAGACATTCGCAGTGGGAATGCTACAGCCATACACCCACAGATGCAAAACTCAGAATTCACTCCACGCTGAGTATCGTTGCACAGCAGGCGCGGATTCGCGGGCGCTGGGGCGGGGTTGAGTGCCAGGAGAGCTCGAACACGTTCTTAGTATGTCCTTAGAGTCGGGATGCGTGCAAAAGTCAGCACATGGCACGAACACGATGGGAGGTCGGAATTGTATGACACATTTATTCCAGAATCGGAAACAACGCAGCGACACTCAAGACACCACCAAACTACGCCATCGTCTTGTACAGTTTGTGATACATGCCCTTTTTCGTCAACAGCTCCTGGTGCGTTCCCTGCTCCACCACCCTCCCGTGGTGAATCACAGCTATCTTGTCAGCGCCTTGAATTGTCGACAGCCTGTGGGCTATCACCAGACACGTTCGGCCGCTGGCCGCGTGCTCTAACGCCTCCTGCACGCACTTCTCACTCTCCGCGTCAAGCGCAGATGTCGCTTCGTCGAGCAGCAGTATGGCCGGTTGCCGAACGAGGGCGCGCGCAATGGCGATGCGCTGCTTCTGGCCGCCACTGAGCTGTGTGCTGCTGCTGCTGCCTAGCTGAGTCTCGTAGCCGGCGGGAAGGCTGGCCACGAAGCTGTGTATGTTGGCGTCCCGGGCGGCTGTCATGATCTCCTCCATCGGCACCTCTCGGCTGCAGTAGCGTAACGACGGTGTCACGGAGGGGAAAAGCAGTCAGGAAAAATGAACTAACATGGTTTTCGCATAAATTTGAGCCCATGCGCAACACTTTAAGTCATGTAGCGTCGACCATTCCACGCAGTTGCACCTTTTCAAATGGACAGCGAAACAAGCAAAACATTTTCTTACGGCATGCCATCGATGCGCACAAATAGTTCGTCTTGCGAGCATCACATGACAGCAACGAGCATAATTTTAATTGCTCGCACACAGTGAACAACATTTCGAACGCCATAGGACAAAGGACTAATGGTGGGACATCGTCACACATTCCTCAGCGGCGTCAGAAGGTCACCCCATTATTTGAAAGAACGGCAGCAGAAGTACCGAAGTTCATGACTTTTGTAGCTGGGTGGCTTAAGACACTTCATATGTCGTGTCTCAGAGAGTGAAATAAAAGCGCACGGTTAAATTGCGTTTCCAGATAGATATAGAGGTCTGCGAGTGTCGGTTGGGATTTCTACAGAAAAATTGCAAAGACACGGACTGACGGTGGAGACCTGATTCGACCATCCTATTGTTTGGTTGTGAAATATCTTAGAAACATCCTGTATGTTCGCACTGGAAACACGAACTGTGTACCCGGCTGAAGCTTGAGAGCCTGGAGACGATCTTACCTGGGACGCGATCACCACTGCCACTCCATAAAGAGTCGAAATAATCTTTAGAATAAACGTCCCCACAAGTGGATTTGAAGCGTCATAACCGGACGTGCCAAAAAAGTCCCCACAAGCGAATGTCACAATCCACACGTGGCGTAGTTATTCATTTAAGTTACTGTGAATGCAATGACTAGGAAGTTCGCGATTTTTCATGTTATCGAATCAGTTATCAAATGACA